TGCGTGTGTGTGTGGCTTGTTTGTGGGAGTAATCTCATAATTGTAGTTTGGGCGAGGGAAGGAAGGGTGAGGATTAGTGTTCTTGTGTGCTGCTGTGTAATGTCTATACGAGAACAGCGTGGGAGCTCCCGACACGCTGCCACACAAAGAGTGAGGAAGCCAGGAGTTCTGTGGGACAATGAAGCACCTGAGGGGTTGATTTTGACGCTCAACACTGAGGAGGAAGTGACGGGAAGAGAAAATTCACACGCCTCTCCTGTACTTATGACAATAAGGCTTCACTTTTTAGCTGAGTGGGGGGTCTTTGTTCCAGGTTTCCTAAGAAATACAGTACAACATTGTTCCTTATGTAAATGCATCTCTGTTCATTTGCGTGGTCAACTTAAAGTTTCATCATATGCAGTTAGAGTCATTTAACTGGTCATTTAAACCTTGATGATAATTAGAGTTATCATTACCTTTGCTCAACTCCAAACAATGCAACCTTGGCAACAAACCAGACCATACAGATACAGTATACCATAGACTCCACTTGATTGAAAGTGTGAATTAAAGCTCCTGTGAGGAACTTTCTGACTTTGTCAATTTTGGCATCTCCTGTGGAAAAAACAGTCTTGGCTTATCCTGCTCTTTATGTGCCTAAGTAGAGACTTTACCCTGACAGTCAGAAGTCTGATGCACTGTGAGAATTTTGTGTGGGAATATAAAAACAGGGCTGATTCTTCGGCTGACACCTACTCTTTCATACTGGTTTCAGGCACTAAATATTAAATTGCTCAGCATTGTAGTTTTTGTTTCTGTTTTGGTTGTGCTCATAGTGTACCATACTACTATAGATGCGTGTGCGTGACATGTGGACTCCAAGTGATTAGCAGTCACACACACAAAGCTCTCTGGTTCTGGTTTTGGTATAACTGGGCCCTGATCACTTCCAATCATTTGATGAAAAAAGGCCTCTATCGACACCCTGAAAACTTTTGGATTCACCCATAATAATACAGTTTAAAAACTTCTGTGGGTTGTGACTAAATTTTGCTCTCCTGTAGGTCATTAGTGGGGTAGGGGGTGTTACATGACAGCTTAACACTTACAAAGAGGTAGACATTAAACAGGAACTGACAGGAATGTATGATGACTAAGGTTACTAGTCCAAGCTCATGTTGCAGTTCTGCCTATGGCTGTTGAAAAATGTCTTAGATAATGTGAGTTTTATGTTTAGGTGTAAAGCAGCCAAAGTATGACATAAGCCTAAATGCACTTTTCAAGGACTTTGAAACTGAGCAGCAGAATGAGATAGAGAATTAGTTGAAAGGATTGATAATGTGCTTGGAAGAAAAAAAAAGTTCTGTATTTTCGACCCCTTTGATAAAGGATAAAAACTGTATTTCAAACACTGATGATTCACGTGACAGTGTCAGTTCTCTCTGATATTCAAAAACTTAAAGATATAGTATGCAGCGCCAAGCGTCCTGAGTGCTGCTGACACAGCATGAGAACCTAAAGTTATAACAATGGCTCTTGGGTCAAGACGATAACGACCATGCACCAATATAGAGTGCATACTTCCTCCTCAGCCGTACTCAGCCGACAGAATCACCTACTGTGCTGCTTTTCCCAACAGCACGTACACAGTCTTAAAGGAAGTACATGTTTTGTTTTCTGCAATTGAGGTCCTTAACTTCGCTTATAGTTCCAGGTTTCACCTACAGGTCTGCAGGATCAAATATATCCCTGACTTGCCTGCAGAATTCCCCCTTTCACTTACAAACATGTCAGGGAACTTCATGAATTATAGACCCGGTAACTATTTGCTCATGTGCTTAATCCTACTCTTGAAAGAAAAACAGCCATTTGAGTCTCTCGCTCCCATACAGTTCACAGGGTACTTGGATATCCCCCTCTGTCCAAACAGACAAATACAGTTGTCTACATAAATAGACCTGTTTGTCCCTTTCTTGCTTGCTCTCATGACAAGTCAGTCTTACATCGGTGGGAAAATTATAAAGCAGCCGGGCTACACAATTGAGCAGCATTAATCCCTAAACAGCAGCTGTGAGAAAGTTCTGCAGAAATAAAAGCTTCATTACACCCTTTAACGGACAATAAATCAATTGATGATCCCTTTAAACATAATAATGTGTCCTTGAAAAACTTTCAGTGTTTTGACAACACAAAAGAAAGGTACGTCCTTTCTGTAAATCATCTGTTGACTGAGTTCAGATTACCATTCAATTTCAACAGGAGGCTGCGGATAGAAATCAGACTGGCTACCTGGAACGTCATTGGCCAACTGAGAGTTAATGAAAGACCTTAATAAATTCATAAATTGAGTTAAAAAAATGCAAAATGACCACAAATTTACACAAGTTCACAGAGATCTAAAACAACCAAAGGCAAAGAGACAGAGACACAGAAAACTACATGCTGATAAGAGGCTGAGTAGATCCTCTTCTTTTTGGAGTAGAAGATGTGGCATCCATGATTTCCAAACAGAATGTCAAATTGTCTTTTGTCTGACCACAGACCAGTTTTCTGTTTCACCTTAATCCAGTAGTTCTCAAGCCCAGTCCTCGAGTCCCCCCCCCCGTCCTGCATGTTTTGGATGTTTCCCTGCTTCAACACACCACACCTGATTCAAATGATCAGCTCGTTATCAAGCTCTGTAATGGCTTATTAACGAGCTGATCATTTGAATCAGGTGTGTTGGAGCAGGGAAACATCCAAAACATGCAGGACAGGGGGGACTCAAGGACTGGACTTGAGAACCACTGACTTAATCTATCTTAAATATGCCTTTGGACCCAGAGGAATTTTGTATTTCGGGGCTTTTTTTGCCTCTTTTTGGAAGGGACAGGACAATGGATGGAGCAGGAAATAGGGGGGGGGGACATACGGGAAAGAAGCTGCATGCTGGAAGGGAACCAGGGCCCACTTGCCGCATAACCTCTGTATTTTGGGCGCCCGTGTAGACCGCCAGGCCAGTGGTGCCATATTGATAGCAATTCTGTATCATACTTGTATCATACTTTGCATGGGATTACAGGCAGTGGTTTCTGGAAGTGGATTAAATGTCATGCAGTGATTTCTACTATAGAGTCATGTCTGTTTTGAATGCCTCTAATATCAGTTTTTTCACCTTATCTTTTAATGTCATTATGCATTGTAGATCAGGGGTGGACAATCATGTGTCATGGAGAGCCGAGAGGCTGCAGGTTTTCTTTCCAACCCAAAACTCCACCAGGTGATTTCACTGATTGGTCCCTGCTCTCTGCTTGGAGGTAAGGTAATCAGTGAAATCACCTGGTGGAGTTTTGGGTTGGAAAGAAAACCTGCAGCCTCTCGGCTCGCCATGACACATGGTTGCCCACCCCTGTTGTAGATGATGAAATCACTTAATTCTTGCAACTTCTCACTGATGAATAATGTTCTGAAATTGATGAACAAGGTGCTCACACAGTTGTAAATGTTTTGCTATCAGAGAGTTGTCCTTCCTGGAATACCTCTTCTTTACCTCATATTACTAATCTGCTGCAAGTTGGCATTTGGTTGTCTTTAGCATAACTTTTCAAAATCAATTTATCGTTTCAGGTTCAACTTTCTGATGTTGTCTTTGCACTTTTTTCAATAAAATATATGTTTATATGATTCGAAATCTGACCTTATCAACATTTTACACAGCATCCAAAACCTTTTTAAATCATGGTTGTCATTTTTAGTAACTTTTAGGTTATCATTGCCATGACCTTGATAAAAAAAAAAAATTGTTTTGATCAAGGTTGGGCATGAAGTCTCGAGCATTGATGGGAACCAGGACTAACATTCTGATTCTCCCAGAATCGTTTAAATTTAAAAATTTTGATTCCAAGTTTTGATGCTGGGTCCACCAATCGGGAGAAATAGCTGCCAAACATCAACAAAGAAGAAGCCGCTGAACACCAACGAAAAGTGGCCACAGGGAGTGTATGTGAGCATTGCAACCCACAGCGGTAGCAGTCAAAAGTTTGGCTAAACTTTAGCAGGCAGAATGAACAGTCGTCTCAGTGCAACATTAGCAACCATAGACTGTATATAGAATGGACAGAGTCTGCCTCCTTGCTAGGTGAAGCCGAGAACAGCACCATCTGTTGATGGGCTGCAGTATAGGTCATAAATCCCGCCTCCGCCAACAAAGCTTATGGAGCTGTGGACCAACTTTAGAAATTTATTACACAGAATAGACATTTTCTCCCCCCTGCTTGTGATGTTGACATGTAGTTAATGTAAGACTGGTTTGTGTTCAAGTCCTCTTTTTTCTGTGCAGCTCCATTTTTAAAAGTTATTAGGGGGTTCATATTTTCTTTGATTGACACCTGATACAGCCTATTGGCATTAAGGGATTGTGTAGCTCACCAAGGGGATACGCTGTTTGAGCCGAGCGTCATCACAGTGACTCTCAGCAACTTTCCCCCTTTAAATGCACACAACGCTACTGCGCAGCGCTGGTTTTAGGAAATGAAGAAAAATCCTGGAAATACCGAGAGCTTTTTGGCTTCAAATCCGTATACAGGCGGTAGGTGGAACCAAGTTGTCCATAGTATATACAGTCTATGTTAGCAACACATTATATCATGCAAAGGAGGGTGCACGATCAACATGATTAAACATCTTCAGATTCATGGAGTAGAAATAACTGAGTTCCCCGTCTTTGACGCACTTCACCGGTCTTCCTCAAATCAGTCAGAATCAGAGAAGTTAAACAATAAATTACGTCTGTCTTCTGCTAACATTGAGGCGGCAAACAAATTGTACTGAATACAGTAGGTCAACTAAAATATCCAACTCACATTAGCCTGTGTACGTTTTCATAGACAAACAACCTGACAGCAAAGACTGATATTTATACACTGGTTAACAATAGTCCTGTGAGAAATTCGTAGTTAAGTAAATAAAAAGTTCATTTAATTAAAAAATTCATAGAGCAGTTCAGACATTTCATCCAAAAAGACCTCTGGTTAGCACACTCATTTAAACCACACATTTTTTTATTTACTGCCTTTTAAAAGAATCACAATGGAGAATTGTTAGGAACCAGAATCAAAATGAGGAATCAGAACTGGGATTGGTCAAATTCAAATGATGCCCAACCCAAGTCTTGATACATTTCTCACGGCAATATTTTCATCTTTGAATCTGGGTTCAAAAGTCTGTATACTCCACACTCCACTTGGTGAGAGTCATACCAGCAGCAGAGTCCCAAACTCTTGTCAGACTTTTCATCAGTTTTCCCAACTGTCTGCTCTCTGTGTGTGATTGTTTTGAAAACGCTGATCCTGAAGTTTTCTGAAGCCCGCATGAGACCTGCAGTTCTGTTACTTTCTCCTGGCCCAGGTATCCCACTGTCCTCCAGTATCTCTGAAACCATCAGACTCCCCTTTCAATCATCTGACACCTGTCGTCTTGTTTCACCTCAGTCAACGGTTTATTTCCCCTCTTCATTCCTGCGACACAAAGGAAAAGGCCTGAGGGTTACTGCCTATTGTTTACACACCAACCTCATATCTGTTTCTCTGCCTGTACACAGTCATTAGTGTGATTTTTCTCTTTCTTTTCAAGCAGGAAAAAAATTCCTTTGGAGCCTGGGAAAAAGTCCTAAATAAGGAAATAATACAGCTGTTTGTATTCACACAGAAATTTGCAGACAATTGCAAAAAACAGTTAGCTCCCTTGTGTTTTGAGTCAAAGCAAACTTTTAACCTTCTTTTATTTTCAAATTTCCCCTGGGGGGCCACTGGAAAAGATCCTATCAAGGCTTCAACACGCATTATTTCATGTCTATAAGTAGAAGAGACAGTTGAAGATTTTATCAAGCAGCTAGTGTCACATGCTAATCCTCAAATTATCCATCAAATCTTTGCATAACTGACTTTCATAAAATGCTCAGCTGGGTAAATATTTCTGTTTTGTGTTTGAGTAGCAGTAGAAAAATACTCAGTCACATGCACTCTGTTATATCTCTGCTCATCAGATATACAATAATTCAGCCAACCACAGACAAACAATTCCTAAACAAAGAGAGCTATTTTTACTTGTAATGAGCTGCTGGGCGAGCGTCCCTGCAGCCTCTCTGCGGCCTCTGTCTGTCCTTTCAGAGTCACTGAGCCGCAGCTGAAGTGTCCAACAAGGAGAAGATCATCCTCAGTGGCTTTATGGGATTTTAAGGACTGACACCAATGTTGACACTGACGATTCACACCTGCTGAGAACTAACATGTCGCACCAACATCTTCCTGTCATTGTTTTAATATTGACTTCAGATTTTAGCTTCTTATCTCACTGATGATCGACCACTCCTACTGGTTACATCATTTGTGCACTTATTTGTCTTAATATTTTTCATATTTAGTGATATATTGTGTTACTCTTTCAATTGTTCTCCCTCGTGCTTATGTGCTCAAGCTTTAAACAATCGAGCAGACTGTTACACGGCAGTCCTCCTCTTGTCTGGGCGTTCTGGTCATCGCCTCGCTCTATCTGCTCCCCCTTTGGGAACAAAGGCTCTTACTGTGCAGACGGACTATGTTGAGTACAACAAGTCGCCTGGCTGTAACACAGTCAAGCCGGTGGTGATGTAGACCACACAGGCTCTTGTCCTTTCATCACAATTATGCTCAGTCCTTCCACTAATTGCTGAGAGCTGGCTGGAGTGAGGCGAGGAGAGTAGAGGCTGGAGGTCTGGATCGAGGGGTTTACTGAACCAAGAGAGGACATGAGGGACGAGGCAGGGTCAGAGAGATGGCCGCCAGTGAGGGACTTAACAGCTGCCAATCTGCCAGTTACTGCTGCTGGAAATGGGAAGAACTGAGAGGAGGAGCATGTAGTCTTACTTTAATTTTCTTCATTCTCACTGTTGTCACTTTCACTATGTACTTATAATGGCCCATTTCTGCTGAGTCACCTTCAACGTACGAAACTGAAATGTTGAACTGGATTATATAAACAAAGTCCATCTGAAAAATCAGTATCAGTCCTACACTTCCTCATCAATCAGCAATAGAAAAGACAATTTGAAAGACAGGAAAACAAAAAACTTATATTTTCAAAGTCATGCAGGAAATAAATACCATGGCTTCCAAGCTAACAGATTAATTCAATTTAGTTTATCTATCCTCACAGGGCAATTTAATGCTGCACTTTGAGGATAGTAATTTAAAGTTAGTTTGTATGAAAATAAGGTTGATTTGTTCCATCATGCAAATAACCAAGCTAAATTCAATTATCATCTCCCCATGGTCACATTTGACTCCCAGCTCACTTGATTGGTCAGCACAAAAGACGTCACTCATGAAAGCTCAGGAAAGTACCCGACTTTAACAAGGTGTCAGATATTTTATGTGACAAATGTGAGGCTTATTACCATTTATGCAGCAGTTTTTTGAGCGTAGCACATCCCCAGAGGATGGGTGGTGACAGATGGAGAGGAACGGTGGTTAGGAGTTATTTTTAAGGAGGATTTGAGACTTTCCACCACAGTCAGAACAGCCTGTGCTTTGGCCTTATATAATGGGAACAGAAACGTCTCTTTTTCTCCATTAAACCCTGTCCAAGTGACCCTTGAGAACAAGTGATGAAGATTTATGGATAGATGCATTATCTTCTTTTTTTAAAATAGAATCACTGGGACTTGGACACTGAAGAGTTTTTGTAAAGGGATGTTTTGTTTAAACTTTATGTACAAATAGCTTGTTGTGGTTAAATGAGGACTCTACCGGGAAACTCAGTCAACAGTATTGTTAAGTTGTGCATACTGAAACTCTTGTTATCCATATTATATTTTGCATACATTTTATATTTAATATTTTATAAATGAAGAAATATTTTTAATGAGCATTTATGCCAGACAATGTATAATTGATCTGCAAAGTGTTCAATCAAGGCAGGGCATACTATTTTTAACAGCACGTTTCAGCAACACAGTAATATATACAAGACATTAAATACATCAAAACAAAGTGCAGAAGAAAAACATTAAAAACAGACTTTTGAAAGCTGAGCCACACTGAGTTAAAGGTCCTGTGGGGAACTTTCTCTTTGTGTTGATTTTGGCGCCCCCCCTGTGGACAAAGTGGTCTTTGTTGAATTTGTGACATCAGTGCTTCCTGACCAAAAAAGCTCGATTAGCAAGGTTTAGAAAACCTCTTGGTCTAACACCTACATCCCACCGGTGATTAAAAGACAACAATTGCGCAGGATTAGTTCCTTCTTTTGTTGATGTTTTTGTTTGCTTTTTTAAGGTCATAAAGACTAAATACCAATTTCAGATGGTTTCACAACTATCAAAAAAACGTTCTCTGGAACCTAAATTGTGAACGTATTTATGTTATTGACAAAATTTTTGGACAATTTAGGGACCTTTCTGCTGGATATCAGAACTAAGATGCCACTTAATTAATGAGGGGGTATCAAAGTTTTTTGGATCAACTTTTGGTCAAGTCCCAGGGTCATGCACACAGTTTAATCTAAATCAAGGAATACACAAAGGTCAATGCCGTGTCCTCACGAGTCCATAAGAGCAGGTTTGTGTGTGTGTGTGTGTGTGTGTGTGTGTGTGTGTGTGCTTGTTGTTTCTGGCCCAGTGCCCTGTATGTTGAAGCTCTGAATGAGGACATTGTTCAAAAAGTGATAAGGTGTGATTCAGACTTTATTGTGTAGGGGAGTAGAATCTCCAGACTGTACATAATTTGTTAGGTTCTCACCTCTGAGGAGGAAGTTGAAACTGATTAAAGTTATGATACTGGGAGCAAACAGCTTTGGCAGGAGTTCTCTGCACGAGATTACTCTTATTGGCCACAAAATGTGTCCAACACTTAATTCTGAGGAGTGGTGGTGAAATAAAAAATTCCACAATGATATAATAATAATTATGATGAAGAAGACTTGGTTGTATTAAAGCTCCTGTGAAAAGTATGTCTTTTTATAATATAAAGAAGCAAAAAAGACGATCATTTACAAGACTGACTACTTTTAAATTAGCCCTTGATGAATCATGTCAGATCAGATGTGTTGGATCTGTCGAGAAAGTTTAGTCTCTGCTTAATGTCTTTATCAGCACATCATCTGTCTGACCCATGCTGAATGCCATGGATGTCTGCAATGACAGACATAAAAGGGACCAAGAGTCTGCTTGTCAGTTTACTGATAGACTGGCACTGCTCACCTGCTTTCTCTTGTAATTCATCTGTCAATCAAGTAAGCATAAAAATAATCCTTCAATATTGCGATTTAGAAAAGTTTGTAATGAAAGATTATCAGTTTATATACTCAGATTGATCTTACATTCAGTCTATCATCTAACATACAGTTTCTGTTGACTTTTAAACGTTTCATTTATTGCGACTATTTTTGTGGAGTCTTCAAAAACATGGCTGCTTCGACAGCGGCTTGGCTGTTGCCTACCCTCTCACACCATCTCCAGGCATCAAAAATTACAATATAAACTAGTCAGTGATGTTGCTGATGGTGTTGCTTGCTTTTTTATACCACGAAAAGGCATTTCAGTCTGTTTCATGAACCTAAATATATATATATATATATAAAAATAAAAAAAAACCTCAAAGGAGCTTTAACAGACCCAGAAGAAAGCTGTTTACCTATTTAGTCAATTTGTAGCTCTTGTGTCGTGGACTGTGCGAATCTGACACAGCGTACAGTTCAATAACAAACGCTCATCTCTGTTTGCCTCTGATTTAGCTCTGACCACATCACTCACTTGTGTTGGCTCAATGAGACAAACCACGCTTTGGCATGTGAGGCACTGCTTGTTTATCCCCCCCCTCGACACCATCCCAGAGCTGCTCAGTGAAACCTGAGCTGAGACAAGTATGAGACCTCTGTTTGATGTTAATTTGTTGTGAGTCCAAGAAGCGACATATCTGTCTACGAAAGATCAGCTGCTGTTGCTAAGCTAGCTGCAAAGGAGGATGAGGAGGCTGTATCACACTTGGTGTATTCGCTTGTTCTCACAGTCTAACTATAGATAAATATAACTCAGGGACATTTATATCATAAAGGTAGTTTTTTCTCTTGGTTTTGTACGATCAACTTCAGTTTCTTCTTTTAAATGTTTTGCCATGCTAATGTGGGAACGGCTAACATGGCCCACTTTTTCTTACTGCTTCTAATTATCTTTTCTGTACTGATGTAAACTTTGCTCAGAAAGTTGACAGTATCTTGGTGCCCGACATGCAGACTTAAATTACATCGGTCATAGGCTACAAATGGAAGGTGACAATATTTTAGCTGTTGTTATTTTATTAGCATTAAAATGATATTTAACTCTTGCCAAGTCAGGTCTGTCAGTCAAAGCACCATTTAGTGTTTCCACAATCAGCTTTGATTAAAAAGTCAGTAAAGGATAAAACCAACTCTCCAAATTAAAAGCATGTGAACACACCAAAGTTGGAAGAACGACTTCCCAGCGGGGCGCATAAATTCAGCGTTACTCTCCACTGAAACGCCTCGTCTGATTCTTTCCTATGATGAGCCCAATCTTATAGAAAAAAATTCAATGTGCAGTAAATCCAGCCTTTATTTGAGGGTTCAGAGGTATCCTTGGCCAAAGTGTGAAGTCTGCAGCCGGCATTGTTGTAATAACATTGACGGGGTCTAATATTATGGCAGCATTTGGCTGTAAACGCGAGAAAACAACTACGCTGCTTTGAGCTCTGGGAGCAGCCGGTCTCTGTGTTTGGACTCTGGCTGGAAGACGAACACGCCGTCGACAGCTGCTGCACATACATGTGCGCACACACTTACACACGGCCATCCCAGAGGTCTTTACACACACAGCATGCCATTGTTAACAGCTGGCAGGGGTTTAACTGCTGTGTTACTCTAGACACGCACAGGGAGAGGAGATAATGTGGCGTGGTAACCTTGACTGTCAAAACTGGGATGTAAGTGCAACAATGTGACACAAATAGCCTTTTTGTTTGCAAGTGATATATAAATCTTGCAAAACCATGTAATCCTTGAGTTATAGCACATTTATCCAAATCGTATGTTTTTATATTCTTTCTAATTCATTTTATTTGGACAGAAGCTGTTTGAACTTTTGTGACACGACTCTAAAGAAGGTGGTTTATAGTTTTTGGGGTTGTGCAAAGAATTTTCTACAACTTTTACAGGAACTACAAAAAAAGTTTGAGTACATTTGTCCAAGCATTACAAATCTATACTGCAGTCAATCAAGATGTATAACTCAGTTTAAACCCAGCGCATGTAAACTAGAGACCGGACTGGAGTCCAGTTAAATCCCCTTGCAAAAAGATCACATACAAGTCTGCAATAAAAAACAGATGTTTGGGAATTTCTTTTTTTTTCTCCTTTTTACGCACATATTTTTGTATTTTGTGATATAAAAATTTGGATGAACAAACTTTTCCATCGTTGAGTTTTTTGCTAAATTCGACCTTAAAGGGGTACAACACAACTGAGTGAAGACTCTATGAATGATAGAGTATGCTTAACTATTGTACAAACAAAAAGGTCTTTGTGGGTTTACTTAAAGTACAATGTTGTATCTCTGGATTTTGTTGTTGTTGTCTTCGCCCTGATCAGTGATTGTTTGAATGTTTTATAAGCTCTGATATAACCTCAATTTTTGTTGTAAGTGCATTCATAAAGTTAAGTTACAGTTGTCTGTGTTTGGCTTGAATGTCAAAGTTTCTCTCAGCCTTAAACAGAAAAAAAGGAAGAAAATCCCACCATGAGGTCAATGCAAGGCATTTTTTGCAGATTTTACAGTTAAGGAAAGAGGTGACAGGTAGAAAGAGGATACATTTTCATAGTAGTTGAACTGTAACTGAGATTGTATAAGATTAACGTCAAAATTAAGCTCTTTAACTTCATCATCATCATTGGTTTATTTCAGCTCCAGTGGTGTTGAGTCAAAAGCCTGGTCAAAACTGTTCTCACTCTATAACCTTCCTCATATCTTCTTCTTTAAGGAAGATGAGGAAGGCAAAAAGAAACCTAAGAGAGAGGAAAAATGGACCAAGACTGAGAGACAATGGTCTAAAAACAAGTATCAACAGTATGACAGAGTCAGTGGGAGAAATATGGGGTCCCAGCCAGGCGGAGCAGGTCCCAGACCAGTTGACTGGGACTGGTTGTGCTACAGAGGAGGTGGAAGAGGAGGGCTCTGGGTGGAGACGAGTGAAGTTCCCATGCCCTGGAGGCCTCTGGGGAGTTGTGGTGGCAGATGTGACGTCTGGGCCGAGCCTCCCTCTGTTCCTTCATCTCTGCTCCATGTCCTTTCCTCCCTGGTCTCATGGCTTCCTCTCTGTGCTCATCTGCCGCTTCAAATCTATCACTCTGCCTCTACTTCTCCACAACAGACAAAAACACAACAGACCCCAAGCTGACAGACCCAATCTTTTCTGATACCAAACAGAGGAGATTTTGTTTACTGAATGATGTCAAACTGTCTTCTCCTTTTTTTCTTTTCATTTGAAGGTTTTGATTTTAACTTTAGAAACCATGAATTCCCTGAGCACTGTTTTCTTCTTTTGTTCTCGTCTCATTACTGAGAGGACAGTTGAAGTTAAACAGAAAATATTTGGTAAAATTTCTGCTAATCATTCGTTGTTACTTTCTTAGTTTGGAACATGCTGTAAAAAGTGGTCAGACAGCAGACCCCTATGTTATGTAACTGCTCCTCCACTTTAACATGCAGTTTAAAGGAAAAGTCCAAACCTCTGTCACTCCTGAAATTTACATGATTTGCTTATCAAGGAGACTGATTATACTTATGTTGTAGTTTGAAGTCGAGATATAACTTCTGCTTATAAAGGAGTCATCAGTGAAAATGGCGAGCAGCAGCTGTTGACCTGAAAACATGACAACCTCCCACTGTTTTCTGTTGTCTTTGTATTTGGCAAGAGAAAAAAAAAAGGTGAGTATCCTTCACATACGAAAGAAAGTTGAAGAGCTTTCATACATTGACAAACTGACTCAACAAAGTGCAAAGCAGAGGAAACAGCCAAGAGAATGGGCTCATCTTTTAGCATTGTCCCTATTAAGATGGCACAACCTGAAAATAGACTGTTGCCAAGTCACAAATCAGCTTTTGAGGGAATCCAGAACATTTGTGTGTCTTGTGTTAAGAAACTTTGCCGCGTGACAGCATGGACATTCGAAATTTTGTACTAAAGTACCAACTATTGGGCCTATAATTGGTCTCACTGAGTGACTTCTTGAATTTTCTTGATTTGGTTTCTGTTTTATGCCTTTAGGTCATTCACACCTACAAGCTTGTGTACTTTTTTGGTTATGCTCTAGTTCAGTGAAATAAAGTACTTTGTCTGTATGTCTACCATATTTGAGGCTGAGGTGCTTGGCATAATTTGAGAGAGTGGTTTTATGGTCTTTGGTGATTCCTGTGTCTGAGAAAAACTGGAAAAATGTCTGAGGCTTTGCAGTGAGGTGCACAGTGTGATGAACCATGAGCAGAACTTATCATCGCAATGATACAAGAGATTTGTGGGTAAAGAGAAGGCCAAGCGCAAGGGTTTGAAGGAGGGTGTGAGGCTGCCACGCCAGAAAGAAACCTGTGGAGGAGATACAGGAAACGATCCTCCCAGATCCACCCGGAGCCGGTTTTTCCAAGAGTCTGTCAGCGTGAGGCAGCTGTGAGGAGCGGCCTTTATCTCTCTAATGCTCCGTATTACAGCAGGCCTCTTGGAGAAAAAGCCCCGTCTCTGTGCGGTGGGATGAAAAAGATCCGCATTGGATCCCTCCTCCTCTGAACAGATTAGGACCCTGTGAGCAGTCACACATCTGCAGCCGCCGCACTCCTCTTTGAAGCCCTGCTAGTGGCTGTCGACGCCATCGAGCTTGGTTACAAGAGCGAGGCCTCTGACGCCGCATCGAGGGACCAGATCTGTGGGTTTGAAGAGCAGCAGGCAGCTCTCTTTGAGGCCTCTTCCCAAGCTCCCTGATGATCTGTAAATAAACACATTTAAAGGCCCTGACTGATAAGTGCCTGCTCACTTTTCTGTGGGAATTAGACACAAGGAGAGAGGAGGTGATGGAGGCATAACAAATTAAGAAAGGACTTCCTGGATGGCTGGAAACAGCTGCTGAGGCGTTTAGGATGATAGCATCAGGGATAACAAACAGGAAGTGACCTCAGATCCTCTGAAACAAATGCCAGACGAGTTTGTAGATTTATTTATCCGAAGAGAAATCCTCCTTCTAGGACCGGGGCATATTCCAAGATGTATTATTTTTAACATTTTTCTGGGTTAAAGATAAATGAGAAGCGACTGACCTTGCTCTCTAATCTAAGATTCATGTTGTTATTTCTCCTACTACAGGCCTCAGCTTAAGTCAAATAATTAGATAATAACAATAATTAAAATGATCACCATCAATATGACCAAACATAAAACATAACATAAAACAAGGCAGGGAAGAAACAATGTAAAAAGGTAGGAGTATAAGCAATAAAGTAAATAAATGTATTTCAAATGTATAACAGGTGTAAAAACAGTAAAAATAAGCAGAGCAAAATAATAATAATAATAATAATAATAATAATAATAATAATAATAATATTTGTAGATCAGAGTTCAGATTCTATATTTTGATTAAAACAGCATCAGTAGAGACTGAAAGTTTAGTTTGTCTGCTCTCTTATGACCTTTAAGAAGCTTTAATAAACTACACCCAGAGTCCCACTTTATTTTTATTTTTCATCAAAAACTACAATGAATTTCTGATTTTCCCGTCAGGGATAAACAAAATTCTTTCTATCTTATCTTATCTTATCTTATCTTATCTTATCTTATCTTATCTTATCTTATCTTATCTTATCTTATCTTATATTGTTAAAGCTCCACTGAGGAATTTTTGGTCGTTAATAAAACAACAGTGAAATGTCTCTATCATCATCAAAGCAAATGAGCCCAAGCAACAAGATTGACCATTTCTATGTCCCAATCGTCAATGCCTTTAACTGCAGTAAGAGGATTACTACACCTTTGCTACTTTTTCCACAGCGAATATGCAGGGCAGTGATATAGTATTTCACCATTTGTTTCACCACAAAAAGACAATAGGAGGTGATTTTGGTAATTTAACTCCACTTTCACAAAGACAAGATGAAATCAGCAACAATAAAGGGTTGCCCTTTTGTCCACCAAAATCAACACAGAAAGTCCCCCACAGGAGCTTTATGTATTTTGGCACTTTGGAGTAGGTTCTTGATGCAACCTAATCTACAATGTGTCTCCTGACTTTGCATAACCTCTCGAACTGGCAGCTGCTCCAATAAAAACACAACTTACTTTGTTGCATATAGATCATTGATTAAACATTTTGTGATGTACACACAAAGTCTTGTCCATGGTGTGCAAGTTCATAAAAAAGAAGTTTGCACAGAGCAGATATGCAAAGATAAACCTACTGGTTGTCACTGTTTAAGACTCATCAGGGAGCTGTTTCAAGACAATAACCTTTTTTCTAGCCTCAGTAGCACATGATTACAAACCCTGCAGTGTCACAAAGCTTCCTCTCAGATTTTCCATTCACAGGCGTGTAAACTGTGCACCATACAGAGAGAGACCATCCATATTGGTCCTTTGGGATGACCCGTCCCTGCTGCACCTGTTTCATTTCACAGAGAGGATGTCCCCTTGGCCAGCAGCCCCCCGACCTGTGAACACAACAATACAGAAAACCTATACTGCTCTTACACAAAACACAAGGAGATGTTAAATATAGATCTCTGAACACCGGTCCCTGTGGAGCGCTCACCTGATACCATTGTCCTTTGGTGCATTATCACCCACACTCACACAAAGCTGAAACTTTGAGCACAGTTTGAGGATGAGTTATCTGCCTACAGGGCAGGGCTTCCCAACCACTAGAACTCTCATATCAGAGCGGAGAGAAAGACCTCAGCGGCGTCTCAGATCCACTGGCGACAAAAGGCTGGAGTTTGGCTCCCTTGTCAGGTTTTGTTTCAGATGTTTGGCTTTGTGAACGAGAGCTGGAGAGTGTGTTTTGCAGGGATGGAGACTCCTGTTTCAGCTTAACATCAACTGAGGCACATCTGTGGATTGTAGCGTCACTGTCCCCTTCTGGCAGTAAGAGGTACTGAATCAACTGTGAATAAATCTGCTGCTCAAATCCTGAGATTTCTAACATAGGAGCATAAGAGCACAGAAATAAAACTCCAATGCAAGATTTATTACATTTAAAACAATGATGAAGTAACATTTCAGAAATCTTTACTTCACAGGTTTGAAATAAAGTTATCCAAAAAAACAACCTGCTCATTTTTTCTTTATGATTTTTATAGAGTAATGACAATTACTTCTTTCAAAATTTGTGGGATGAATATATTATCATTTAAAGTTCAGTAGTATCTAATTCTAGCTGTAATTTCCACCTCTGTGCTGTTGGAAGTAGTGGTATTGACTGTCTGAAGGAACTGGCATTATAGCATCCAAGAAAGTGTGAAAAAGTATAACATTTTATCACCATGGTACAAAGTTGTTTTTATGTCAAACAAAGTTTTATTTTTCATCCATCACAGAGACTTTTTCCTTCTTAGGTCAAAGAACATTCCTCAGACTGGTTTCACACATAACAGGGTGGGAGAAACTCTTTCCAGTCTTTGTGTGTTTTCGGTGAAGCTGCTGGGCTGGCAGAAAGCAGCGAGGAGCATCCTGAACACGTTAGCTTACACCCAGACTGCAGCTGTGTCAATAACACGGCCCACGCCACAGGCTCTGCCGATACTGATAATCTGTCAGGGTGATACTGAGGGCAGAGATAAAGCACATAAGGCTTTCTTAATGGCCACAAACTATGGTGATCAACTGCTGATCTTCAGCAGGATGAGTAATCGGAACTTTTGCGTTAATTATTTGCAGTAGATAGTAGTTATTCAGCTATCTAAGACTGTTTACTGTACTCACATTAGTGTTGGTTTCTGCCAACATAAGGCTCAGGTTTAGAAATTAAATGCTCTTACTAGTTATGTGAGAGTTGTGTACAAAGCGAGTATATGCAGTAGATTTAATCCTGTTATCTGCTTTTTGAATCTCTAAAGGCGTTAACTTTCCTACTGCCTCACACATGCCCTCTTTAGTCTACAGCGTTAATGACTACTTTGATTATTGTTTGTTTCACTGATCCACTAATTTAGTGGCAGCTAATCAGATTAGTTCAAAGTGATCTCTCTTTTGCTCTCCTCTCCACACCATATGGACCTGGTCTGCTGAGGGTTAAAGGGCTGAAGGTCTGGGCTAAGGACAGAGGTCAGAGGTCACCACAGGTCATCAGGGCCTCATCAGCATCTTTACAACACAAGTTAGAGTCATGAATCAGCAGCAACTATTGTTGTCTGAGGATTTACGGGTAAAGGGGATTCT